GATCTTGTAACTAAACTTTGTTTTTTTTTAAAATTATTATTTTCATTTATTTATTTAATCATCTCTTATCTAATCAGCACTTATCCTTTTAATAATATTTCATTTCTTATATTGTCATCAATTTTCCTATCATTTGTTTTTTTTTTTTGTAATTATTGTTTTCATTTATTTATTTAATCATCTCTTATCTAATCAGCACTTATCCTTTTAATAATATTTCATTTCTTATATTGTCATCAATTTTCTTTTTTTTAGCAAAATTTTTGCTATAAAAATGATGATAAGATAACATTACATTCATGCTATATTAAATATATTTCATTAATTTTAAAAATTTGGATAGAAAAAAAAACGCTACCAAAGAAAAGGTAAGGAAATGATAAAGGTGTGAGTGAATAAATGCAAAGATTAAATGAAAGAATAATTGATTTATTTAGTTATCTATGTAAATAAATTATAATTGATATTAAAAATGATATCATTCTAGTCTTTCTTTTAGTGATATTTTTATATTTTCTCATTTTATCAATTTTTTTTGAAATTTATTCATAATTACAGTATGGTATTTGCATATTGTTAATTACTACTTATATAATAATTAATATATATTTGTACTTTAATATATTATAATATATTTCATTATATGTATTTATTAATTTATTCATTTTTCTATATGGACGAGTTTTTATAAGGATAAATTAATGAATGAAAATTTCAGTAATAAACCAAGCATCTTTCCTTTTATTTAATTAAGCAATTTTAATTTTGTTAACAAATGAAGCAATCAGACATTCATTTATATATAATAACTCATCAAAATAAATAAATGCCGTTTGCTAACATATATCATTTATTGTTGTTTATTTTATTATTTGTTATGGTACAACTATTACGGTATTGTCATTTAATATTCAGTCACTGATGAAATAAACTCTTTAAAAAAAGAAAGGAAAAATGAATACTGTAAATATTTATACAAAAAAAAAAAATTGCATGTAAAAATGAATGCATTGTATTATATTATTTAATATATTATATTATTTGTTATTTCTTTATATATTTATTTGTTTGTATATTTATATATTATTTATTATTTTATTATTTATTTATATATATTATTATTTATTTATATATTCGTCATAACTATTATTTATTTGTCTCAAAATACAATATAGTTGGTAATCAGATGGACAGGTGTATGATGATCGAGACAGGTGCTTTTTATAAGTTAAGAGGAAAAAGTAGACAAAATATTGATGAGAAAGGAAAAAAAAATGTAAGGTCATCTAAAACCGGTAACTATTTTATAAACAAATAATTGGCGCGTTCGACTTCATCCGTTATGATAGATACGGATATGTTTGTTTAAATTGTCCCATTTGCCTCGAAATGTAATTTGACACTTGATTATCATTTAATTGATGATGATGATGATGCAGAGGATGATGAGATGATGATTGAGGAAGAAGAAAAGGTAGCATTAGGATGAGGATGACTATTTGATAATAATAATAGTAACAATGGTAAAACGGGATGATGATGATGATGATGAGGTCGTATCAGGTCATCAACCCCCTTTTCTCTTACACTAGCACATTGAGGTGAGCTTATTTAACTGTTTATAATTCTGAAGGATTACTGTAATTTTGATTTCTTTTTTGAATCAAATTTTCAAAAATTTTTTCCCAAGATAAAATGCAAATATTTGATTCAGCAAATGAAATATTATAAGAATTCTGATGTGAAATGTTACTTTAATTTTAATTTTATTTTTTTCTTCTCTCTCTCTCTCTTTCTCTGTTTTCAACCATTCATATTGAAATATTCTCTTCCATTTTTGTTTTTAACTTAATATAACAATTAAATAATTTTTGAGTATTTTGAGTAGTAATTTTGTCAGTAATTTTGCGTTAAGCTAAAATCTATGCGCATTTATAAATTTTGCTACTTGCTCTCATTTATTACTGTAGCTATAGTATGCTTAATTTCTTTGTTCTTTTCATTACTATCCAATTAACCACTAACAAATTTGGATTTGAAAATTCAAATAATTGAAAAAAAATTACTGTAAGAGATTATTGCTGTGTTAATGATCTAATAAACTTAAAAAAAAGAAAAAAGTTGATTATTTATTGCTATTGACTAATTATTTATTATTACTTATTATTTGTTAATTAATTTATCATTTATTAATTATTACTTAATAATTATTTTTCTTTTTTTTTTTAAAGTAAAAAAAAACTATTTTTTTCAGGGAATTTTTTTACAATCAAATGGATAAATATGCAAGAAATTATCTAGCTGAAGGGATCAAAAATAAGGATGATATTATTGTAACACCGGAATCAGAAATTTATAAAAGTCTCAATCAGCACTATAATCGTAATAATCACATTCAGGTAAAGCGCATTAATTAATTAATTTGGAAAAAAATTTCATACTTTTTATTAACGTTATGAAAATAAAAAATGAGATGAAAGAGTAAAAATTTTGTATGAAATGGGAGAAAAAAATAGTATTGCATTTTGTAATTAATTAATTTTGATCAATTTATTTTTTCTCAATAAGAGGAAGAATTGTTTTTATTTTATAACTTTAATAATTCTTTCATCTCAAAAAAATAATCTATCAATTAACGATCAATATTTTCAGTGGTAATTGCAAACTTTTCAATTTTATGCAAATTATGTTAGAAATTTTTTGAAAGAATTTTTTTTTTTCAAGAAAGAGGTTAAAAATCAACAAAAAAAAATTTTTAATAATGGGACATAAAAAATCTTATAAGTTTTAAATATTTCAATTATTGATTTTACAATTTTATGAATCACAATAAATTTTATTAATTTATAGCCACCTGAGCGGTTATCATTGGTAATACAAGAAACATTACGTGAATTTTTTTGTGCTGTACAAAGTGGACGTGATGCTGAACCATCATGGAAGAAGACAATTTATAAAGTAATTAATCGAATGGATGATCCCATTCCGGAATATTTTAAAGATCCTAATTTTCTGGAACGTCTAGAGGGTTAAGGAATAATTTTTGCTATCACTCCAAAACCCTTCCTTATCATCTGCTAATAACTAATAAAAATGTTTTAATTTAGTTTACAATTACTTTTTCTTTTCTTTTGATTTATATTATTTGCAAATTTTTTGTATAATTTTGGAAAAAAAAGAAAAAAGGGAATCAAATGTAAATTTTCAATTTCTTTTGAAATTTTGCAAAATTTGTTAAACAAAAAAGAAAAAAGAAAAAGGAAAAAAACTCTCTTCTGGGAAATTTGCTTGAATCATTGTTTTGTATTTTAAGCGTGTATTTGATAAATACATAAATATTTTAATTTTTCTTTTTCTTAAAATTTTTTTTTCCTGCAGCAATGATAAATTTTGAAAAATTTGATACCTCTATATTATCGAAATGAGAAATTTAAATTAAATATGTTCTGAAAATTTCAAAAATTTCAAAATTTTCTGACTATAAAAATTGAAATTTACTGTCAACTTTGGTCATTTTTTTCATTCTCTTTTTCATCCCCGCTTTTTTTTTTGGTTTTGCAAACTTTCCCCATATATACACATATACGGGGAAAATTTCTCCCTTCAAACTTCTACAGGTCAATGATCAAACATCCTGAAATTCCAGTTTAAAATCATTTTTACCTAAATTATTTCTAGCTAAACGAAACTATTTTATATGCGTTTGTGTATGCGTATATATATATATATATATATATATATATATATATATATATATATAT